TGCTTAGCCAGCTGAGTATAACAGCAGAGTATTTTTTACACTATATTTAGGAATGCCCCGCTAGATTGCCTAGCCAGCTGAGCATACCAGCAGATCATTTTGTACACTATATTTACGAATGCCCCGCTTGATTGCTTAGCCAGCTGAGCATACCAGGAGAGCACTTTTTGCACTATATTTTGGAATGCTCCGCTAGATTGCTTAGCCAGCTGAGCATACCAGCAGAGCATTTTTTTATGCTATATTTTGGAATGCCCCGCTAGATTGCCTAGCCAGCTGAGCATACCAGCAGAGCATTTTTACACTATATTTAGGAATGGCCTGCTAGATTGCTTAGCCAGCTGAGCATACCAGCAAAGCATTTCTACACTTTATTTTGGAATGCTTACCTAGCTGAGCATAACAGCAGATCATTGATTTCCCTATATAAATCGTAATGCCTTTTTGCTTAGCTCACTGTTAACTGCTAACTTCTCACATACGTCAATGCAACACAATCATAATTATGTACATAACTAGATATTCTGGAAGGTTGAAATCTGAAAGCTGATAGTTAAGTTAAATGTTTGTATCAAATAAGTAGTAAAATGTTAACATCTGATTGTTGTAACTTTGCAAACACTGTTTCTTTTAGCAGAAATTCAATTTGTTTTAAAATTGGAATAATTGAATCACGTAAGAACATAGTTCGTGTCTAGCCACTTAATGAAAAAAAAAATATTATTATTAATTATGAGAATTTTTGTATCACATGTGCAGATCCATATTATATGTGTAATTTATTGTATATTGCTGTATTTATATTCATGAAAGATTCTGTATTTATTTGACAAAGTTTTTGTTCCCGCGTTAACGTCACGTTCTGTTTAGCGTATAGTTAAACGGACGTTGCGTCATTTGTCATTTGTTATTTTATAAACGTCAATTTTTTCTGAAGAAGACTAAACGTCGAAAGCTTAAGAAAAGCGTTTGTTTTTATTGAACTGATTATATAGCCACTTAATGCACATACATCTCTTTTGTCTGTAACTTCTTTTTCAGCAACATTCCAAGTCAAAACTTCATACCTATTTTGAAGGTCTAAATACTTGTGTTGAATATTTGCCAAATTTTAATGCATACTTGTAACAGCTCCAGATTTTCAAATTTTTGCTGAGTCATTCGAATAAAAAACGCCATATTTTTTACCTTTCGAGAAGCAAATGAAATTTTACGTACAATTATGCGTTTAATACTGTGAATGTTTCAAGTTTTCATTTATTTTCTATTTAACTGATCAATGCAAAAGTGTATCAGTTTTCATCTGAATTATTAAGTATTGGTCAAATATTTTTACTTTGAATTTGTACATCGAATTTTAATTTGGAACAATAGTGACCATAACTAACTTTTTTAAGAAGCACCAAAAGAAATATTACACTATTTTTTATTCAAATTGGGACATGAATTAAATTCATGCCTTAAATATACTAAATATACTTCTTTAATTTTAGCATTGGATACATTAAACATGAAGATTCTTTAATTCATACTGTAAATTCATAATTTTAAAATGTATCTGTTTTCCTTTAGATGGTTAAAACATAATTTAAGATAATTCTCCACAAGCACTGATTGGTCAGTTGGTACAATCTTATACAAAACAAATCAAAAAAAGTATATTTTTTCACTTTATTGAATATAAATATGCATTATATGATTATGTATATAAGTAATATAAAATAAAACAAAAACAAAACAACTACATACATGTATATAATGTCAATGATTCGATAAACAGAAAACATCAATCACGTCCAATATGAACCTTATTATTGTCCATACTACAAAACTATAGTCGTATTTTAAAAGATATGTTTGCTTATAAGAGTGTTATTTCAAAAGACATAATTGTTAACGAAAACACTATAATAAATCGTCTTCTATGCAATCAATTTGGATGGTACGGCGTCTAAAATAGAATTAATTATAAAATATTCTTATAAAAAGTGTTAGGTTTTTACTAAATTGGTGTAAAAAATCTAATTATTTACCACATATTCACCCATGTTAGTCATGTATATCTTCTTTCAAATTAAACAATTCATATCAATGAGATAGGCAGTGATATAGTTGATACATAAAAAAGCAGCAATTTTATTAGGCCATTTTCCATTGAACACACTGTTTCTCTGTTGATAACAGATAACATAATGAGATTTTGAAATTTATCATTGTTTACTTATTTTGAATAACAAAAGAACTAAATAAAATCATAGAGATAAATGACATTTACAAACTTCTCTAAACAGCAATACAAATAATAATTGCAACTAACTGTTTAAGAAATAATGGTTGTTTATTTTAGAAATTTATATCCGAAAGCTCTTGCAACTAGTCGTTGATCCCTCTTTGTTTGCCCATGTTCATACCGGCCTGACTAGCACCTTGGTTTGAGCCATACTGCATCGTATTTACCATAAATTTAGCTTCTGCAAGTTGTTCTGGAGTGAAATCAAAGACTTGTGCATCTGACATCTTTGGGCCTAAGACTGGGCCGTCGTAATCGTCTTTCGTCTGGGTCTGAAAATACAATAATGTATATTATTTACCTTTGATTTCAAATACTTTGCAGTTTAAAGTTTCTAAGCAAAAGAAATTATTTGAAATAAAAACACGTTTGCAAAGTTAAATTTTCCTCATTTTCATTTTTTTCCAAAGGGAAATCTAAACATTTTGCTAAAAAACCTGATGTGTTACATCTTACACTGAAATGTGCTTAAATAAGGAACAAACTTTAGCATAGAATTCTCCAAGAATTGGATAGGTGCAGATTTGTTTGACCCCGGCCAATTAGCGATGATAATGTTTAAGCTATAAATGAAACATATATCACTTACAATTCGTCCAAGTGCATGAATACAAAGTGTTACAGCAGGAATGTTCTTTTTCTCCCATAAATCTACAGTTTGGAAACATTCTCTCACGGGAACACCGTAGTTCAGGATAGCTTTGTTAAACCGCTCAATGTTTTGCATCAAGGCAAATCCTCCACCTTTCTTGTCAATCTTCTTTATACATCCTGGATCAAGTTTATTCATCAAGCTGAAGAATAGCATATATAAATATAAATGAAATGAATATTCAGGACAAACTACTAGAGCCTAAATTTGAGTTGCCAGTAAAAAGAATGTTAAGCGTTCCATATATTGCACCAAAAATTGTTTGCTGCAAGAAAGCAAGATTATATTGTAATACACATTGCACTGTCGGTTTAGGAATATGCACTTTAATTCATCGCATTGGTACTAAGCACTGATTACACTAGTATTTATTGAAAATAGCAAACCTACTTGCAGAGGGTGATACCATCTTTAATTTGATCAGGGTACTCCTTAGATCTGTCTAATTTCTCTCCAGTAATCTTTTCAATCCATTCCATTGCTTGCTCTTCCATCTCAGGGTCACGCTAAAACAACATCAACAATTTGTAAATGTATGCAAACGTGTGCCGAATTTCTTTAATTTTCAAGAGTTAGCTGTTGAGTTTAATGCAAAAACATCATGGGTAAAAATGTTTGGTTTAAAAAATATCAAGTTTTAACAAGTGTTTAGATTAATAAATATATTCGAAATCTAATATTCCTTTGCACCATACCATAACATAACTACAACGTTGGTTTGAATGTCGGGGGCGAGAGTTTTATTTTCAAAAACTGCAGGTGCAAAGAGAAATTTGAGCTTGATTAAAATGAAATTTCATGGAGAAATTTTGAATATGATATAAACATTAAACATAATTTTTGATTTGTTTCTTCCACATAAAGTATAGATTTTGATAAGAACATTTCTTTTCATCTGAAAAACATGCAGGTTGGCTATACTTATTGGCAATAACCAACAGTTTCATTGTTCATATGCGTTGAATTAACATAGAACCATTTCTTATAGTGCAAAGGGCCTTATTATGTCGTCATTTCTATAAGAAACGCAATTAATAATTAATATAAGCATTGAAAATAGAATAAATATCTGCAATGAAAATATCTGATACAATTTCTCTATCAAATTAGACTGTACATATTAAAATATATCCTGTTGAACAAACTGAACAGACTGTAACTTAAACAAATGAATAATGAAAGAACTGTTACAGCATAAACAGTCGTAAGATCTTTGATAAGATAAGCCTGAAATTGAATTGGGAAACTATATCTTTTTATACATATTGTCGAGTTTTTTATGTATGTTTTATATGTATTTGTGCTTCGTTGTAGAAAAGATTTGGACGATTAACAAAACTGTTGTTCCAGCCTCTCTATCGGTGTGGTGCTGCCAAGTTTTTCTCATAAAATTCACGAAATTCATCTATTTTTAGAACTCTTAAATTCAAGACTGCATTTAATTATAAAGTGCTTTTTATATTACAAAATTAAAATGCTGATTATACAATGCATCCTCTTCGGCAGTAGCGCTAGTTGTTAGCTAATCTGTGTTCATTATTTTTTTAGCAGAACGAAGTTTGAACACTTGGAACTTATTGAATATAAGACAAATGAAGGTTTGCTAGTTCTTCCCCTCTTTTTTTTTTTGAAGAACAATACATCATTATTCTCTGCCACATGTTTTTATTTATAGATTTAATAAATGAAACAATTATTCGATTGAAATAGTTCATTATGTTATTTTTGTATTCTTTTTTGCTAAAACAGTAAATTCAGATTAAATATATTCTTTTATTATTAGAGAATGTTTGCAACAAATTTTACAAATGATTATCATTTATATGACTGAATGTTGGTATAACGAGTTACTTCAAATAATATTTTTAAATTTCAATCTTCACTATAAGCCAAAATGATATTTAAATGATTGTAATATGTACGTTTTACGTTAAATCATTACGAACCTATGAAGTACATTTAGAAATTTAATACTTTTTACGGCTTTTCTTGCAACTCGATACTGTGAATTGGATTATCAAAATAATATATCAGATGGTTTGTGAAACAGCTGCAATTGGAACAGAATACCGAATATAATGGTCGATTTATTTACCTAAAATTAATTGAAAATTCCACAATCAATTGCCAATTTGGAACAGATATACTCTTCCAAAATATGTAATGAGGGTTTCCAAAGCAATGACTAACAGATTCTTGTCAGAATGAGAGAGGCTACCTGCTAATCAGACCATAAAGTTAATGTTTCTTTGATCAAGTTGCATTAAATAATCTAGTACAAATAAAATTACAATTTAAAAATCATGAGAGAAATTCCTAGAAAGAATATAAATACAAAAAAACATGTAATAATTAAAAGACTCTCTGTCTTTACAGTTCATTGAAGACTCTAAGTCTATGCTAACTGCAAAATGTTTAGTCTAGACATTTATAATGTTTGCTTATGTCTCTGGTAATGTTTTCTAAAATATGATCCTGGAGCAAACTTAATGCGAGATAGAATGAATGGATAGTATATTTGTAACTATCATATTATGCCTGATATATAATCGAGAGAAAACACCTGTATGTACATCAACAGAACTTCTGCCAGATTACACACCTACTCTTTATATCCCATTAATTAGCAAAGGAAATCTTTATTTCTATCAGTTATCAATCATCGTTGCCAAATCTCATTACCTTTATTTGTTAAGGTTTATTTAATAATATGTAAAATGTATAATGCAAATTATGAGAAAATAATTCCTTTAACCACTATTTACTTAAATTAGTTTATATTTGAAAACATGTACCCGATCTATTATGTTTGATATAAATAGATTTTGGACAATGTATTTTCTAAAAAGTAACTTAGGAGCTATTTTGTGTAAAAGGATCAATACATAATTTATACTTGCACTAAACTAGCTAGATCGCAATCATATACTTGTTTTTGCCCTACATTATGACACATATGAAACACTGTATCATTTTGCAGGGTTTTGTACTCTATCCTAATAAATAATTCTGATAAAAACCGAAAGTTTATCATTCTGACTGACGAAAACAATATTAGCTAGCCCACATTAACTGATAAACGCAGAATATTTATTGCTACATACATATAACTATTTATCCCTCTAAATAAACATATACTTTTTTCTATGAATAATCATTATTATAAACTTTATCCTTGATATCGATATACATTTATTTTATTAATTACATAAATAAGATTTACTCACTTAGGTTGGATTGTATTGTAAATAATATTTCTTGACGAATTGTCTTTATTTCAATGAGGGGCATCGGGATAAAAAATGCACGAAAATTTTATTCATTTAGATAAATAGCAAAACACATGAAGCAATTATAGCCATTATGCCCAGCGATTATGTTTTGTTACATAAACAACACACCCAAAATTCCAGAAACAGTTTGTAAATGGCACTGCTGCCAAGCTCTCTTTGAAAACATATATGTTATATATCTTTGAATCACTAGCGTCGGTAATTACTTTATAATAATTAGAAAGTTATAATGCTTAGCCTTTCCAGCTTCTCCTTAGACAGGTTTTCCACATATGTAACGTTAAAGAATTTCTTCCTGTGAACTTGATATAAAGAAAACACAAGATTAGAACAAATTTTGTACCATTCTTTCCAGCTATTCATGAGCAACAGAAATTAATTTTGAAAAATAAAAATTGTTAAAATATACAGAATTTTAGAGTCATACCCACTTTTCCTCACTGTATTAGGTGATAATTTACGCCAAATGTTGTCACAATGCATTATTGATATTAACTGGAACAGTATTACTGTTACATTAGATAATTGATCCTTAATTGAACAATTGGAAAATAGAGAAAAAATCAATCCCTAAAGAAAGCTCATTAGATAATTGATCCTTAATTGAACAATTGGAAAATAGAGAAAAAATCAATCCCTAAAGAAAGCTCAAAACGGCAAAATTGAACATGTTACAGGCTCAGTTTGATTGGCAAATTTCCGTCCACGCCCCCTAGCACCGGCTTAAGCAGAATTCAACATTTAAACATGAACTCTGTTTTAGAATACAAAACAATTAACCAGCTGTATCACTAGCACTTTATTAGACTATTTCATAATCCAATATTTGCATACTGGTATCTAGAATCATTTTGATATATATGATATCAGCGTCTCAATTATTCATCATGGTCAATCACAATATTTGCTAACTATTTTAAATATATACTTAGGGGTAGGGGGTGTGAATGGTACCTTGCAGTATTTTCAATGTTTCTCTATGGTTAATATTACTAGCTATTTGAGTCTGAAATTCTCTTATGAACTTTAACAATATATGCATTGTATGTTTTTTTGTTTTATGTTTATTTTTCCATGGCAATTATTCTTTGGAACTCTCACGAAATTACATCAATTACCAGACTTGTAGAATAAACACAGGTCTGCACTTAAAATTTCTAAAATATTCACACGCCTTTTCCTTCAGGAATGTACAATGCCTCATCGTGAAAACTCAATGCATTTCGGTTAACATTTTTATAATTTGATACCAGTTCTGGTAAATTACCATGTTGCTATTATACTTATTGATTATATGTTAAAATCATATCTAAGTTTGGATATTTGTCATGTCATAAGTAGTTAAATCTATCATGCTAACTTATTAAAAGTGATATTAGGACGAATGTTTTAAAAGAAGAAACGAATTAAATTGTGTCCACTAATCAAAGTACTTTCAATATACCATTTCTTCGGTGGTTAGTATATGAAAGTAATCATGCAATTTTACTATTTTTACTGCAATGACTTTATCAGAAAGAAAACAATCATGCAATTTAATGTGTTCCTTACTGCAATGACAAATTTATCAGCTTTAGTTGATATAAAATTCAAAGGCAGATCATGAATATTTCTTGTAAAGTTATCCTTTTTAAAATATCATTCTTTAAATTCCTATCACTTGTCCTAAAAGAATCTTCATGCTTCCTCAATCTTTGTGAACATGCAGAAAATAATTTTCTCCGACTAAATTTAAATTTGAGTATCAGAGGGTGTACCGTTCAGTTGTTGCAATTGCCAAGGTCTTATTCCGTTATATCTTTGAAGCACATCTAAAATGATGGTTTCAAGTTTGCACTTAAGAGATACTGTTTTTTTTGTGATTTATTTTGTGTATGTATCTTACATCAATTGTAATGTTTCAAACTAAGAAATATTACAAGCTGTACATTTTATAGTTTGTTCCAAAAGAAATTCTGACAAAATTGTCATTTAGCACAATAATCTTTATTTTCATATAAGGTTTTTGTCAAATCGCGTTTATATCAAACATATTATTATAGCATATTAATTGGCGCTTTGACAACTTCTTGTCAGCATAACCAGGACATTAATACCTTTGCGTACTCATATAATTTTGTGTTATGATCTGTGAGTTGTCATCATATTATTCCATTACCTGTATCATCATAAAGATTAGTGATAATCTACTTTACAATCAGTTAAATTAATACAATGTTATCTAAGTTATTTATTTATCAAGTATCATACCATAACTATAATCTTATAATAATTAGAGTTGGCTCAGTCAATCGTAAGCTGTTTTCTCTATCTTCTACTAGTTTACCAACAAGCAGAAGAAAGAAATTTTATAATACTGCACGTTTGTAACGTCGCTTTTCATTGGATAATCGTGACGTTTATATAGTTTTATATACACGGCTTCTGTCGATTCATTAAGAAATTTTACTTTTTTCTCTAAAAAATGATGCGTGCTGTATTATAAATTCGTAATAAAGATTGTTGACAGGATATTTGACCGTATATAAACGGCTGTTTGCAATATAACCCTCGCCTTGCGGCTCGGGTTATATTTACAAACAGCCGTTTATATAGGGCCATATAACCTGTCAACGATCTTTATAACTAATAATATAAACTGCGATTTTCCATACCGTACAGAAAGACATTTTAATGTCTACGTGCAAAATTAGTCTTGCTTAGTAATGGTAGTATAAAGAAGCAAACGAATTGTGAAAGGGGTATTTTTCTAAACGCTTGTTTATACAAAAACCTGACATACAAATTTGTAAGCCGTTATTAGTCTATGATTGCTCTAATATTTGGTTTTTATATTAATATGATGAAGAATGTTATCTAAATGATCATGCTTGTTTGATCTATATGTTTCATAGGGTGCCTCTAGATAGCCGCTCATGTTAGCTGATGTTAACATAAATTCCCAACGCGTCTACACCTGACAAACCTTGTGCCAGCGTATGTTATGGAGATACTATCGCGTATTGCTTCTACCAATAGTGCAAAATCAAAAATATACTTCTTTCCGTTTCCCACTCAAGATCTCTGAACATGACAAATACACATCTTACTTGCCATAATTGAAGTGTTCAATGTAATTGGTTAAAATTAAATTCTTAAACCAAAATTTGAATAAGAATTTCAGGAAAAAAATCAATAAACCAATAGATCCAAGAGGATGTACATTTTTTTATTTAATAGATACTTTTGACCTATTTCTTTTATATGTTTACATATATATTTGATTTGCTCATGTTTTTGTATATTATACAAACTAAGTATTATTGTAAATAAAATTGAATTGAATTCTATATGCAAGGTAATTGTAATAAACAAACAGTTTGGCCACGAACTATTTTCAACTCCCAATTTCATTATTATGTTTCAAATCAAATTTACAGGTTTTTGTCTGGATATTTCTATATGATATTTTTTTCAGCATAAGAAATCAATGTTAATTATTCGGGAAGTTAATACTATCATATTTCCATGCACTAACCAGATTATCTATAGATAATTTATAGCAATCTGAGTACATTAACTTAATTAGTGGAATATATAGAAATGATAACTGTACTATAATCACAATATTTTAGATAATACTATCAAAGAGGTCATGTTTGCTCCACTGCCAACGAGATATTAGCAGCAACCAAGAATTTATTGCATTAATAGTATTTGATTATAATCTAATCTAATCATTTGAGTCAGTCTCACTGGGACTCCCCTGCATACGGTAAAAAATTGTTAATTTCATTAACACACCCCTCTCCAAAATTGCATACAAATGTTAAACCTTAATAAAATTTTAAGTTAAGTTTTAGTTTTGAAAGTTTTTCGTTTAGAGAGCACACTGCTTTTCTTGTATTTAAATTAGGATTTTTTTATTGAATCCTTTAATGTATTACACTGTTTGCGTACCTTCAGGGGTATTCGTGGGTTGACTAACGCGTTAAACCTAGAATTTTCTTTTTATTAAATAAAGCTTCTCACATTAAAATATGTATTTGGTTTCCAAAATGTTCAATAGAAGTACAGAAAACACATTAACTTCTCTGATAGATACGCTGGCTTATGTATCAGCGGGGTGTTTCTTTTCAGTTTTTATCGCATCAGCAGGGTAATTCGTGTTCATAGTCTGTTCTACTAGAGATATTCCATCTGTTCAAGTAATTTCAACTTTTCGCTGGAGAGAATATTCGATGCCAAGATAATGTTTTGGAGGGAAATAGATTCAGGAAACATATTTCATGGTTATCCCAGGTTATGAGTATTTAAAATAAATGAGAATAAAGGTCAACAAAGCAAAGCAACGTTCACAGACAGTAGCCTCCAACACAATCCAGTAGGGCACCAAGAAGGCACCGAACTAAACATTGGGAGAAGACAATATGGCGGTGAAAGGAGGGGGAAAGAAAGTGCATATTTACATTGAATACTTCAGGTGCAATTATCACAGAGGTCAGATCTCAAATTATATGAATGGTGAGTTAGTGGCAATACATACATGCGTTCTGTATCAATCTAACTTTTTCACTGTATTAAAACATTGACATATAGTCACACTATTTAACAAACAAATAATGAAAAAAAAATGAAATGGTTATTATATGATAACTGTACATTAAAACATTTATTATTTATTTAAATTAAATGAATAGATGATAAATTTCATAAACAGCCTTACAATAGTTCAATTTAGAGCAGCAACTAACTAAGCAGTACCACTTCAATGCAGACATTTCATGTGAATGTTATATTGTCTGTTGATAAAAAATAAAGTTACTTTGCATAAATAATAATAACACGTATGGTAAACGTCAAAATGAAATTAATTTTGTGACATATAAAAATAAATGCTCATAAATCGTTACCTTTGCAGCAGTAGGTGGCATCCTGATATGTTTTGATATTATAACACAAAATAAAGCACTCTAGTACAAACACTATCGTCTGCAAATTCTCAACTGAAATGCGCGAGCGCTTTGAACGCGGATTAATTTTCCCTTCCTGATAGTTCGGGGGTGTACAGGTATGTTGTTTTATAAATATCTGGAGGAGAATTTATGGCATTAGTGCGTCATAAGTAGGTAACAACTGTCCTGAAATAAATACAACTTCTCATTTATTTTGAAACGTCAGAAGTTCAGATGTATTCAAGAGCTCTAATATATAACATTAAACATTAGTCATGGCTGTGAAAGGTCAAGAGGAAATAAACATTTTTTTCTATATTTGTGTTTCTGTCTGTTATAATCTACAAACTATTAATGAATATTTTTTGTGTTTTGTGAAACTCTTGTCAGGTTACGTGTAGATGTTTTTCGTTAAAATAGTCAAGAATGCGCAGATCAGATTTCAACACTTTTCTTTATTCACAATCATGGAATAATATCAATGTTATACAACAATGCGATTCTCTGAAATTAACAAATAAAACAAACTAAAAACTTATTGCGACGCATTCAAAATAAAATACAATAAATTGTCTAAGATAATAATGTTAATACAAATCATAAATATACGATATTACCTTTACAATTATATACTTAATTCTATGCAAATAATAATGTTTTTTTATATTCCGCAAATAATTCCGTTTATGATTTAATTCACGGCGAATATTGCAAAGTTCATCACCATATAAAAAAAGATTGAATTTACTATTGAAATTCATACATAATAAATAACTACTTACCGATTATGATCTACTTTCAAAAGTAACGGTTAATGACGTCACCGTTAAACAATTTAATGACGTCTTTTTACGGGAAACAAAATCAGACGTTACGTTTGGCGGAAAAAGTGAAGCTATCTTAAACTGAAAGAGTCAAACAATATCTTTAATAGTAAATACTATCGGAAAAATCAAACCATGAAAATTCTGTGGTTATAAATAAAATAAATTTACAATTAAAGAAATATAATTCTTACAGAACGTATTGCATTTGTATATGTTCTTCTATGAAAATGTCTGTGTCCATTGATTATATTACAAAAGAATTGAATAAATAAAAACAGTAAACGATAGCATAAGTGTCAAAAAAAACTTTCTTTAATTTTTCTTCTCTCGACATGGATATGTTTCTTTCATAATTGATGTTACACGAATTCGTTGTTTTTCAAAATTAACATTTAACTTTATTTTACATGGTGGCATATTTCTGCCACCAGATAACCATATAACTAACTAGTTAATTAAGAGGTTAACTAGTTACGTAACTAGTTAACCTCTTAATTAACTAGTTAGGTATCAGGTTAACTAGTTACGTAACTAGTTAACCTCTTAATTAACTAGTTAGTTATATGGTTAACTAGTTACGTAACTAGTTAACCTCTTAATTAACTAGTTAGGTATCAGGTTATCTGGTGGCAGAAATATGCCACCATACACTAGATCTATAAATATTTTTATTGCTACATTTGGTAAAATGGTATTTTCATTTTTGTTACAAAATGACATAATTTATGAGCCACGTCATGACAAAACCAACATAATGGGTTTGCGACCAGCATGGATCCAGACCAGCCTGCGCATCCGCGCAGTCTAATCAGGTTCCATGCTGTTCGCTATCAGTTTCTCTACTTGTTACAGGGTCTGTAAGCGAACAGCATGGATCCTGATCAGACTGCGCGGATGCGCAGGCTGGTCTGGATCCATGCTGGTCGCAAACGCACTATGTTGGTTTTGTCGTGACACGGCTCATATAACTATTTCTGAAATGAAAATTCACTTAAACTATACTAGTTAGTATACTGGTATAACATTTTGTTGCCATGTGTTACATTTGGCGTCTGTGCAATATTTATTTCTTTTAACGTTTTAAGATATTTGCTAGAAGCAAAGGTTCTGACATTCATCTGGGAAATTTACCACAAGCAGGCAATAAAGGTGTTACAATAATTTATTATTGCTATTTTATTGCTCATACACCGACCTTTTCTACGTTCTGAAATTAATCAAAATACCTGATATAATTATCAGTCTAGAACGCCAATTTTTCTGTAGAAGAAGGAAAACAATTTATTCATATTCATAAACATAGTATAAAGATATTACCCTAAGTTTCATGGAAGACTTGTAATTTTGTTACGTAGGAAAAAATGTAAGCACGCATTTTTAACAATCTTTTTTTCTTTCTTTTCTTTTTTTTGATAGGATAACACAAAAAGGCAATGTAAATGTTAAAAATGTATTGTAGCGCTTTCAAAACCATTGTTTTTTTTGTTTTTTTTTTTTCTTTTTCTTGTTTCTTTTGTTATCCAATAAATTTTGAAACCTTGTTATCAATTATCAAATATGTACGATGATTGATATATTATTGTCGTCTATTGCTTTTAAGCTGATGAAAACTTGCGACTGTGTTTCTGGTATTGCTTTCCTTTATCATAACAATCTAGAATGTTATCAAAGCTAGCATTTATGTTTAGTCTATGTAACAATGGGTGCTTTTAGAAGGCAAGAACTGTCAGTATTGAGAAAAACAAAGACTTAACCCGTTACTTGTCTATGTACATACATATCAGAACATTTTACATTGCTCTTAATGTTTAGTCATATAAAACTCTAAATGAAGTGCGTGTGTACTTTGTACATTTTGAAAATGAGACTAGCTTTTTGTCAGATTTACTTCCGATTTTGTTAACAAAGGAATTAGTAATCCAAGAACTTGGCACTTTCATCTTGAAAATTGATTTAATTATATTCTTACTTTAAATTGTTTTTAATGATTATGACATTTTACATAATATGTAATTTAAATTAAAGAAAATTCTGACCTAATAATTTTATTAAAGGGTCCCTGCAAATTTCAATTCTGATATTTATTTTTTGATCAGACTTACACCAAATTTTTACCCGTCATCTCAAATAGGCACAGTGGATTCACTTTAAGGTACACACTTATGATGATATGATGCTAAAGTTATCAAGCCAATCTGTACAGATGAACAGTTTCTTTTGCATGCTATCAATATGATATATGTTTATTTATTTTGATATAGATCTGGTAGGTCTTATTAGATTAATACAAACGAATAACGTTTTTATAAGCTATATCAAGTTATATCATATGGTACCTGCAGGTAGATAAAGTTACTGAATCTAATTAATACTAAAATCTATCAGTCATCTGCCAAACTGTATATATTGACTATCAAATTATTGCTTGTAACTATATTAACTTTATTTGTATAGCATTAAACGATATTCTGGTAATTGACCTACATTATTGGCATAAAAACTTGTATGGAATTTCACGGGCATTTTGGGGTTCAATCAATATAAAAAATATCCTCATTTCTATTTCATAAATTTTCAAAATAAAGTGATATGTTTTGCTTCGTCTTCTTTGGCATTTCAGTAATATAGCTTGGCTACCTACCATTCAAGTACAGTCCAATTATGAAACAACGGGAGATGTGGGGCGACGGGTTGCAAACAAGATTTCAACCAACGGAAAAGCTGTGCACGTAGTCTACTTTACAGCTTCTTTTGTAAATTTTACAAGAAACTCTTTCATCAGTAATTCATGTATTATGTTTACTGTTTATGTAATCGTAGACCAAACTTTGCAAGATGTAGTAATTTCTTCGTCCAAAATCCAATCTGAATAAGAATATTTAGGCTTGAGAATAAAAATTAATTTGTATATTTCTTTATATATCTGGAAGATTTCTGATCACCTGATTAACGCCTTTTTACATTACGAGTGTGTATTTAAACTTGCCTGTGTAAGTAGGTAACAACTGTCCTGAAATAAATACAACTTCTCATTTATTTTGAAACGTCAGAAGTTCAGATGATTCAAGAGCTCTAATATATTAAATAAAGCCTTAGTGGTAAAGAGGAAATAAACATTTTTTTATATTTGTGTTTCTGTCTGTTATAAACTACAAACAATTAATGAAAATTTTTGTGTTTTGTGAAACTCTTGTCAGGGTACGTGTAGATGCTTTCCGTTAAAATAGTCAATAATATGCAGATTAGATTTCAACACTTTTCTTTATTCAAAATCATGGAATAATAATAATGTTATACAACAATGCGATTCTCTGAAATTAACAAATAAAACAAACTAAATACTTATTGCGACGCATTTAAAATAAAATACAATAAATTGTCTAAAATAATAATGTTAAAACAAATCATAAATAAACGATATTACCTTTACAATTATAGACTTTAATCTATGCAAATAATAATGTTATTTGAGCCGCGTCACGACAAAACCAACATCCGCGCAGTCTGATCAGGATCCATGCTGTTCGCTTACAAACCCTATAACAAGTAGAGAAACTGATAGCGAACAGCATGGATCCTAATCAGACTGTGCGGATGCGAAGTCTGGTCTGGATTCATGCTGGTCGCAAACGCACTATGTTGGTTTTGTCATGACGCGGCTCATTTTTATATTCCCGCAAATAATTCCGTTTATGATTTAATTCACGGCGAATATTGCAAAGTTCATCATCATTTAAAAAAGATTGAATTTACTACTGAAATTCATACATAATAAATAACTAGCTTACCGATTTTGATCTACTTTCAATTGGAAAACACCAATAAACAATATATAAACAATTTTAAGCACTTCCGCCGAAGGCATAACAACATATCAAAGATAATAACATATCAAAGTTACGGTTAATGACGTCACCGTAAAACAATTCAATGACGTCTTTTTACGTGAAACAAAATAAGACGTTACTTTTCGCGGAAAAAGTGAAGTTATCCTAAACTGAAAGAGACAAACAATGACTTTAATAGTAAATACTATCGAACAAATCAAACTATAAAAATTCTGTGATTATAAATAAAATAAATTTACAATTTAAGAACTATAATTCTCACAGTACGAATTGCATTTGTGTATGTTCTTCTATTAAAATGTCTGTGTCCATTGATTATATTACAAAAGAATTGAATAAATAAAAACAGTAAATGATCGCATAAGTGTAAAAAAAACTTTCTTTAATTTTTTTGTCTCGACATGGATATGTTTCTTTCAATATTTCGTTTCATAATTGATGTTACACGAATTCGTTGTTTTTCAAAATTAACATTTAACTTTATTTTACATGGTGGCATATTTCTGCCACCAGATAACCATATAACTAACTAGTTAATTAAGAGGTTAACTAGTTACGTAACTAGTTAACCTCTTAATTAACTAGTTAGGTATCAGGTTAACTAGTTACGTAACTAGTTAACCTCTTAATTAACTAGTTAGTTATATGGTTAACTAGTTACGTAACTAGTTAACCTCTTAATTAACTAGTTAGGTATCAGGTTATCTGGTGGCAGAAAAATGCCACCATACACTAGATCTATAAATATTTTTATTGCTACATTTGGTAAAATGGTATTTTCATTTTTGTTACAAAATGACATAATTTATGAGCCACGTCATGACAAAACCAACATAATGGGTTTGCGACCAGCATGGATCCAGACCAGCCTGCGCATCCGCGCAGTCTAATCAGGTTCCATGCTGTTCGCTATCAGTTTCTCTACTTGTTACAGGGTCTGTAAGCGAACAGCATGGATCCTGATCAGACTGCGCGGATGCGCAGGCTGGTCTGGATCCATGCTGGTCGCAAACGCACTATGTTGGTTTTGTCGTGACACGGCTCATATAACTATTTCTGAAATGAAAATTCACTTAAACTATACTAGTTAGTATACTGGTATAACATTTTGTTGCCATGTGTTACATTTGGCGTCTGTGCAATATTTATTTCTTTTAACGTTTTAAGATATTTGCTAGAAGCAAAGGTTCTGACATTCATCTGGGAAATTTACCACAAGCAGGCAATAAAGGTGTTACAATAATTTATTATTGCTATTTTATTGCTCATACACCGACCTTTTCTACGTTCTGAAATTAATCAAAATACCTGATATAATTATCAGTCTAGAACGCCAATTTTTCTGTAGAAGAAGGAAAACAATTTATTCATATTCATAAACATAGTATAAAGATATTACCCTAAGTTTCATGGAAGACTTGTAATTTTGTTACGTAGGAAAAAATGTAAGCACGCATTTTTAACAATCTTTTTTTCTTTTCTTTTCTTTTTTTTGATAGGATAACACAAAAAGGCAATGTAAATGTTAAAAATGTATTGTAGCGCTTTCAAAACCATTGTTTTTTTGTTTTTTTTTTCTTTTTCTTGTTTCTTTTGTTATCCAATAAATTTTGAAACCTTGTTATCAATTATCAAATATGTACGATGATTGATATATTATTGTCGTCTATTGCTTTTAAGCTGATGAAAACTTGCGACTGTGTTTCTGGTATTGCTTTCCTTTATCATAACAATCTAGAATGTTATCAAAGCTAGCATTTATGTTTAGTCTATGTAACAATGGGTGCTTTTAGAAGGCAAGAACTGTCAGTATTGAGAAAAACAAAGACTTAACCCGTTACTTGTCTATGTACATACATATCAGAACATTTTACATTGCTCTTAATGTTTAGTCATATAAGACTCTAAATGAAGTGCGTGTGTACTTTGTACATTTTGAAAAAGAGACTAGCTTTTTGTCAGATTTACTTCCGATTTTGTTAACAAAGGAATTAGTAATCCAAGAACTTGGCACCTTCATCTTGAAAATTGATTTAATTATATTCTTACTTTAAATTGTTTTTAATGATTATGACATTTTACATAATATGTAATTTAAATTAAAGAAAATTCTTACCTAATAATTTTATTAAAGGGTCCCTGCAAATTTCAATTCTGATATTTATTTTTTGATCAGACTTACACCAAATTTTTACCCGTCATCTCAAATGGGCACAGTGGATTCACTTTAAGGTACACACTTATGATGATATGATGCTAAAGTTATCAAGCCAATCTGTACAGATGAACAGTTTCTTTTGCATGCTATCAATATGATATATGTTTATTTATTTTGATATAGATCTGGTAGGTCTTATTAGATTAATACAAACGAATAACGTTTTTATAAGCTATATCAAGTTATATCATATGGTACCTGCAGGTAAATAAAGTTACTGAATCTAATTAATACTAAAATCTATCAGTCATCTGCCAAACTGTATATATTGACTATCAAATTATTGCTTGTAACTATATTAACTTTATTTGTATAGCATTAAACGATATTCTGGTAATTGACCTACATTATTGGCATAAAAACTTGTATGGAATTTCACGGGCATTTTGGGGTTCAATCAATATAAAAAATATCCTCATTTCTATTTCATAAATTTTCAAAATAAAGTGATATGTTTTGCTTCGTCTTCTTTGGCATTTCAGTAATATAGCTTGGCTACCTACCATTCAAGTACAGTCCAATTATGAAACAACGGGAGATGTGGGGCAAAGGGTTGCAAACAAGATTTCAACCAACGGAAAAGCTGTGCACGTAGTCTACTTCACGGCTTCTTTTGTAAATTTTACAAGAAATCCTTTCATCAAGACATTAATACATGTATTATGTTTACTGTTTATGTAATCGTAGACCAAACTTTGCAAGATGTAGTAATTTCTTCGTCCAAAATCCAATCTGAATAAGAATATCTTGGCTTGAGAATAAAAATTAATTTGTATATTTCTTTATATATCTGGAAGATTTCTGATCACCTGATGTTCGTCTTTTTACATTACGATTGTGTATTTAAACTTACCTAGGTTAAGAACTAGATTCTTGATAAACATGGCATGATTACTGTATATATTATGTACACAATATTTCATTCTCAAAATCATTGAATATTTTTCCACGTGTGTAATGTTTTCTACATTGCTATATTCTTATAACATATCTTAAGAGGATATGCAAGTTTGTGCTCCGACACTTAAGTGATTCTGATTTAATCATACGCTACTGGTTCTTTAATCTACACCTGATGGGGAAATGCATTTATGGTATAAGATTATAAATCCGAAATCAAACTGATATTTCATTTTAGTTTGTTTTGCAACAGTGTGTAAACAAACACATATCTTGATATTTTTTGGAAATACAGATGTAGCATTCTTCAAAATTAATAATATTTCTACGGCACTCACAGCTACGAACTGTCCATGAATTATGTCAGGTTATTGAGGTCTCTTTCAGATTAGATAAAAACTTACTGGCGTCCATAATAACGACTCCCTCCTAGTTTGTGTTAACTCTTAAGCTTAAGAATTTTGATATTTTAAGCTACATAACTGCAGGGGAAGATGATTCAGAAAGAAGTTTATCATAAAGTTTCAGGAGATGGAAATTTTCTCACGAACAATCAAACGCCATATAGAACCTATAAGCTCTACCATTGTAGAACGAAATTGATATTGTTTCTTTTAATAACATCAGGCGATTATCTTATTATCCCATACAAACTTTGTCTTGCCGTGTTCTTTATTTCTTAGATTCTGGCACGGTGCTTACAAAGAAAAAAAAAACATGAAACAGAAAGGAATATTTTACAAAACGCGCATTAAACAAGCTAACTGCAGTTTTCAATAAATTTTACTAAGTCTAGAATATTATTTATTTTCTCGTTAAAGTTTCACTATTATATTCTTACGGTGGTATAGAGGGGACATCAGAAATATTGTATCTATCACGAGCGCACGCGATAGCTACTACGTGCGCACGGGATAGTTACTACTGCGCACGCCATAGCCCATTACGTTGGTCAATCATTACGTGCGCACGTAATAGCGCACGTGGTAGATAAAATATTTCTGATGTTCCCTTTATGCCACCGTATATTCTAGTATAGTGCGGTATAATATAAGAACTAGCACACAGAACTTCGGATCCCATAGCATTATAGTGACCTTCCATGCACTTAACCCCAAACATTAAACAGACTCGGTCCGTTAAATGTTACATATAAAACTGATTGTAAAGGACAGTTAACTCATTAATTTTGTAAGAAAACTCATACCAACAGAAAAAAGAGCAGTCATTCACTCACCAACGGAAGAATGAAAACGGAAATGACGTCTGTGAGAAATAAAAAAGATATCAAACGGCACTTAGTAACATTATATGATGCAGTAAAGCAACAACGCAAGATCTAGTACCTGTTGTTACGTGCCAAGATGAATACCAAGATATTAGAATGCCACATTTATTGAAAAACACATTAGTCTTATGATCGTCGTGCAGAGGCTTTCTAGAAATCATTATATGTGTGATTTTAACTGTTGTGACATTCCGAATTTCTGCATTGTTTGTAAATAAGGGACTCATTAGACCAATTTTCATTCCGTTTATAAAGAATTCAAAGCTCTGGATTAAGATTGCATTCTTATATGGATGTTTAAATCAATGGGAATTGTACTCCTGTATGATGAAAAGATTAATAACCAGCTTTTCAGTACTACGTTTTTGTAAGATATGAAAATTATTGTCGGACAGTTTTAAATATTTAAAGATCGGGATGAGAGTCTAATATGAATTTTTAATTGGTGTGCAACTCCATATATCTCCCGTATTGTAGTTCAGTCCAATGTTAAGTTACCTAATTTTTCTCTATCAAAATTATACTATGGAAATACAAAATATGATCTGATAAGAAACATCATTTAATTAAAGACGCCTTAATTTTTGTCTGACGTCTTTCCACAGTTTGCCATTATCGGCTTTTGTCCTTGGCAATACATCAACTAGGTCAAGCGCACATACCTATCCAATATAGGATACATATATTGGATAGCTTTTCGTCCAACATGGAATTATATTGGACGGTCACGTGATACAATTCAAAAGTAGCAATTGGATGTAAATAATGAGTATAAAATTAGCTGCGTTTATGGTATGACTATGTTTAAGATACTGACTTTATCTGTGACATTCAGATTTTTATTCAGGATCGATCATTTATTGTTGATATTTGGAAAGGGTTTAAAAGTACTCCTTAAACAAGATTTGAGGTGATATTTATGGAGTCTTTAAGTTGCAAACAATCTTTTTAAAAATTGCATCAACATCAATGTCAGTCTCTGGGCATTGGTAAAGTAAAGAAACAGAAAGGAAAAATAAATCAAACACTTTATAGAAACAAAACTGATTTAATACATGTGCATGTAGAGATTGATTAGCACCAGTATTTACACGACTTTATAGCCAATCAAAATTCTCACATGCAATTTAAACAAGTTTTCGGCATAAAAATGCAATAACAATATATAAACATAAAGTAATACATATAACATTACATGAGAAAAATATTATGACCCTGACTTTAAAGGCCAATTATGCCCCAGAAATGCTTTTATTTTCAGTTTTCAAAATCTTTTCTATTTTTCATGTCCTGTCATAGTTTTCAAAAAGGTTACTAATTTGCCAAATACATAAACAATATTTTGCATCTGTTGCATTTCTGGCAATTAGTAAAAATACATTTTTTTGGTATTTTAAAATGGAAGTCAAAATACTAATTTGTTTTCATTTTGCTTCTTTTACATGTATGACAGAGAATTTAACATCCAGTGCTACTTTCTTCAGGAGAAAGGCATCTAAAATGTTCTAAAACCATTATTAAAAGTGTTAAAAATTCATGTTTTGCATTGTCAATAAAGGATAAAAAAAATCATTTCTGAGGCATAATGAGCCTTTAAAATAAATAATGGTTATCTCAAGGTACTAGTATATTGTCAATTAAGTTTGATATTTCTTGAATTTGACAAAGATTTGTCAAATGACTATAATTGAGAACTCGTTTGTCGAGTTTCCTTTTGATATATACTAAATCTGATATTGAATTGTCGGCTAAATTTCAATAAAATATTCATTTGAAAAGTGATATCACTGTTTTGTATACTTAAGAATGATACAAAAGACACATTTGTAACGTTTATGTATTCATATCTGCAAAAAAATACAATGTATTAATAACTTGATAATTAAGAAGAAATAAGTTTCATTTCCTCAGCAATTCACGTTTATTTACATATGGTAATTTTTTGCATAATTGACACAAAATGTGTTGTCGTGAAGTTTATATTGTCTTCAAACAATGCATGAAATTTATTATCTTTTTTTTCAATTCTATCAAAGAAATCTTTACAAAACATCACTGCGCCATTATCTTTAATGCTTCGAAAAAGTATCATAATGGTAACATTGTCAAAACTTCGAAATAAAATAAATAACATTGTCATGATGATGCCATATACCGATGATTTCCTTGAATGCCACGATTCTAAATCTTTTTGTTGGCGTTTAATTAAAATGGCAACTATAAGACACCAATAGCTTGAATTGATAGACTTACAATTAAAATGAACAATATACATGAATAGTGAACAAAGTAAAGAAAATGTGGCATTTTATACATAATTCAAAGAAATAAATCTAAAAAAATCATTTGTCTCTCTTTCATTCTAAACAGGTGTACACATATTCAGGAAAAACTGTTTCCCTGTTCATTTATTTTCCTTATTCATATTAAGAATACATGACAATACGTACAATGTAATTTTCTATCAAGAAACTAAAAAACTTAAAAAGATGGATGAGATCACAATTTGTCAAATAAATAAATCAATCACACAATCCGCTGGAATTTCTCTATCCTAAAGTAATCTTAAATTGCATCCATACAAAAAAATGTTGCGATCTAATTATAACAGTAATTCATAAATATGAGCCAAATTTTAATATTTTGTAACATTTTTTATCTAAATTTATGCAAATTATGTATGTTCCATCTACATTTCATAAAATGGTTCAATAAAACAAACAATGCACACGCGTCATGTTTCAATCAACAAATCTAAATAAATCAATCTTAATATACAATGCAATGCGGTTGATTAATAAACGCTCATAATCACTTTCTACGGACCCTGATTTACATAGAGGCAACTACAGTTTATTTTGACAACTACATTTTGACCGACCCTTGCTCCAATTTATTTTTGCGCTAATGTCATTTCCCTGCAGATTTTATGCAAAACGTGAAAACATAAAACACACACGATGAGATGGGGAAATGTTAGGTAGGGTGGAGTGTGTCGTTGTAACACGTGCAAGTTAGTGGCGTATCTTGTGCAGTTTCCATAACAGTGTCATCTACCGCCGACCTAGAAAATATCATAGACATGTTGTTAATACAATGTTATAAATGTGAGGTGTTGTCAAGTATGAGGTAGATATAATAAAAGCAATGCAGAATTAAGGATGTGTACAAAATGCATTGTGATAAACATTGCAAGATATTAATGAACTTAGTTTAGAAATTTCAATATAAAATATTCTTCTTAAAAAGATAGAATATAAAGCATTAAAAGATTTTTTTCAAGATATAGCTGGGATTACATAAATATGATTAAACTTCACACAATTTTGAATAATAAAAACGTTGCTTAATGAATCAAAATACAGTTGACTCTCAATAAGTCAAAATCGCCTAATTCAAACTTCCGCGTTAGTCGAAGAATTTCTACATTTTTTACGGTTAGAGACTGTCTCAAATTAATTAAGATAATGTTTGGAAAATCTGTAAGTAAAGGTCATCATGCCATTACTGAAGGTTTTACTGTGATTCTCATATGAAAGAAAGACTGTGTAAATTGTCGATGAACCATATCAACGCAATAAATATTAATGAAATAATACATGTGAGATTATGGGTGATAGTTATGTGATACAAGAATGAATGTGCCAGCACATATTAAAAACTATTAATGCAACTTTCTCGTGCATTTAGTATAGAGAACGGTGCCATACCCGTGCAATTTCACTATTGAGATTGCGCGAAATGTATGCTGATATTAAAAAGAGTTTTCATTATCCACGTGTTTTTATTCTTCCGATTGCATTTTAATGCATTCTTCTGCATTTTTGTAATACCTGATGAAAATTTCTTTTCTAAACAAAATGTTTACAAGTAAATAATTTTACAATTTCTTAAATCCTTTAAATAACTATCAATACATATCAATATCTCTATAAAATGTCACATGAATGACATATGAGAAATAAAATAAGTGGATTTGTCGATGATAATCAGAAGATCTCATCACTTATTGACTATAAAACCCTTATTTCCTGAAAGTCAAATGTATATGTAAAGCAATGATAGTGAATGGCAATTAATGTACTGTAGTAATAGACATAGATATAAATATAACAATGTTTTATATAATTATCATAATTAATGAACGATTGTATGAATGAGGTTTAACTGAGTTCCGTTCATGCACAATATATCGTACACATGTATTGATAGATTGATACTACATGTGTGCACACTGTTTTTAGTAAATGTAAATTTTTGATAACTCGGTCAACACGATCTATATGACAACGTTCAGGTGACATTTTGATATCGTAGCTTCTTATCGATATGATCTTAATGTATGGCCCTAAATTATTGTTATCTTGATATTTAAATGAAAATAATGGTTGTCTAAATATTCGAAACCCATCCACCTTTCTTCTCTTTTGCGGCTTTTTTGTACGCAGCTTTCCGTTTCTCTTCTGCCTTTTTCCTTTGCAACTCAGCTTGGGCTTCCGGGTCAGCCATTAGCGTTTTCCGGCGTAAATACGATTCGTACCAAAAGGCAAATATAAAGAAACTCATAAATAAGGCTAATCCCATGAGTCCACCTATGAGCATAATTTCATACTTTCCTGAAATGTAGAATTAAACAAATCTATTTAGTTGGGTTTGATTGTTAAACAATGTGTGTTGCCGCATAACATAAGATCCTGAATTATTTTTATATTTCTACCAAATAGAACAACATTGGTTCAGTCTGAAAGCCACTTTTTGTCGATGTTCAATGCGCTTTCGAACACTCGGACGAAAATAAACCAAAAGTCGAAGACCATTGTTGTGATTGATCTTCAACATTTGTCATTTCATTGTATTGCTCCTTTTTTGCTAGACTTCATTATTCTATCCAAAACTTCACTTATCAATGATATTTGCACGACACAAACTTCCCTCAACAATATATAAATGAAAGTATGGTGTACCTATTGATAACCCCTCATCAATATATAAATGAAAGTATGGTGTACCGATTGATAATCCCTCAACAATATATAAATGAAAGTATGGTGTACCTAGTGACAATCCCTCAACAATATATAAATGAAAGTATGGTGTACCTTGTGGCAATTCCTCAAAAATATATAAATGAAAGTATGATGTACCTAGTGACAATCCCTCAACAATATATAAATGAAAGTATGGTGTACCTAGTTGCAATCCCTCAACAATATATAAATGAAAGTATAATGTACCTAGTGACAATCCCTCAACAATATATAAATGAAAGTATAGTGTACCTAGTGACAATCCCTCAACAATATATAAATGAAAGTATAGTGTACCTAGTGACAATCCCTCAACAATATATAAATGAAAGTATGGTGTACCTAGTGGCAATCCTTAACAATATATAAATGAAAGTATGGTGTACCTAGTGGCAATCCCTCAACAATATATAAATGAAAGTATTGTGTACCTAGTGACAATCCCTCAACAATATATAAATGAAAGTATGGTGTACCTAGTGACAATCCCTCAACAATATATAAATGAAAGTATGGTGTACCTAGTGACAATCCCTCAACAATATATAAATGAAAGTATGGTGTACCTTGTGGCAATTCCTCAAAAACATATAAATGAAAGTATGGTGTACCTAGTGACAATCTCTCAACAATATATAAATGAAAGTATGGCGTACCTTGTGGCAATCCCTCAACAATATATAAATGAAAGTATGGTGTACCTATTGATAACCCCTCATCAATATACAATAGAAAGTATGGTGTACCTTGTGATAATCCCTCATCAATATATAAATGAAAGTATGGTGTACCTAGTGACAATCCCTCAACAATATATAAATGAAAGTATGGTGTACCTAGTGACAATCCCTCAACAATATATAAATGAAAGTATGGTGTACCTAGTGACAATCCCTCAACAATATATAAATGAAAGTATGGTGTACCTATTGATAATCCCTCAACAATATATAAATGAAAGTATGGTGTACCTTGTGACAATCCCTCATCAATATATAAATGAAAGTATGGTGTACCTAGTGATAATCCCTCAACAATATATAATTGAAAGTATGGTGTACCTAGTGACAATCCCTCAACAATATATAAATGAAAGTATGGTGTACCTAGTGACAATCCCTCAACAATATATAAATGAAAGTATGGTGTACCTAGTGACAATCCCTCAAACAATATATAAATGAAAAGTAATGGTGTACCTAGTGACAATCCCTCAACAAATATAAATGAAAGTATGGTTTGTACCTAGTGACAATCCCTCATCAATATATAAATGAAAGTATGGTGTACCTAGTGACAATCCCTCAACAATATATAAATGAAAGTATGGTGTACCTAGTGACAATCCCTCACACCCTGATTCGTCACAGTCTTTGTCACAGCCACAATCGTTAAAACCGTCACATCGATACGACAACGTCATGCATACTTTGTTGGAACATTCTAACTCGAAAGATTTACATGCTAAAAAAAACAAAGAACATGACGTCAAAGATAAAATAAAGTTTATTTCTTTATGGTTTCTTTATAGTCCGGCAAGATGCTAGTGAAAATACGGACAACATGATTCACTGCAGTGATTTGTTTTTACCTTGAAAGTACAACAGTTAATTTCATCAATATTTCTCAGTATTTCATTAATAAGTATAAAGATTATTTCTTTTTAATAAATAAAGTTTCTTTCTTTATGGATAATTTCGGAACATATTCGTAACATTGCACATATTCGTAACATTGAAGAAGAACTATAGCATATAATTAATACTATGGAGTAAAGAAAGAAATGAGGGTAATAACATAGCAAATGATCCAACATTTTACACTGAATTTCTCCTCCATAAATAGGAAATGAGTTATATAACAATTTAACAAATAAACATCTTTAAAAGCTGAAGAATTTTAGCGTATAGCGAACAGTTTTTTTTTAAAATAGATTCATTTTCTTTAAAACTGTACTAATTGCATGCAGAGCCATTGAAATAAGCATTCCGTGCTTAACAATTTCTTTAAAGAAATAACAATAATGTTTCTGTAAAAAGGAAAACAGACAAATTGCGAAAATGCAAGTAATTTAAATATACATTATAATAGCTAGTTTATTATACGATGACTTGTATTCTTATTAATGAAATACTGAGAAATATTGATGAAATTAACTGTTGTATTTTCAAGGTAAAAACAAATCACTGCAGTGAATCATGTTGTCCGTATTTTCACTGGTATCTTGCCGGACTATTTTCTTCTAAATTCATTCAGTACGAAAAATAAATGCGAAATCTTTCGAATTGTAAGATCAAAAAGAGAAAAAAATATAATAAACAGAAAATTCAAGTTTTTTTCCATACAAATTCAGGATTTATTTTATCTCATACGAAAATAATCATAGTTCGCCCGTGGCTTAAACGACTCGTAAATATTTATTTTTTAACCATTCGATGGAAATATATCCCTCATTTATAGAAAAAAATATCATGCTCTCAAATAAACAAACGGACTCTCACTAAACTTGAACAAATTCTTTGATGTGTTTTTTTCGATGCTGATTGAAACAGATAAAACTTACCTACAATTGGATTTGCTACATCTGTTATAGATGATCCTGAAATATAATCATAAACAGTGTTATACTATATCTACGAAGGGAAATAATGCGTCCGCGAAAATTTCACCATTTCTCCACACAGTCGTTCCCCTTCTTTCCATTTCGCCTAATAATTTAGCATGGTGTTCAAGACGAAAGATTCGACAGACAATGTAGTGATGTATGAATATTCCCAGCTTGCGATGTCGCTTCTGAACAAATATCATGAAAACATTCATTATAAGTGGAAATGCTGACGGGAAAGGAAAGAAATTTAAGGTACCTTGGACACATCACTCGAGATCTTTCTCATCCAATCTTTTGGACACCATAGAGACTTCCCCTGCCACCTAATGTCTTGTGTCATTTATTTTATATCAGACGAATAAAATCAACACGAGTTTCCTCCAGTATCGATGTCACGAACCTACCCTGTTAGCAACTAAAAGAAGTAAGTAATACCAGACGAGCATGATGATACAAACGACATCTTCTCTACATGACTTACCTACATAAGTTGATGAAATATGGCCAGTAAATCCGGAAGTGCTGGTTATACCATCACTATAAAATTGCACACGTAACCAGCTTGCTGACGCGGTAACTAAATGATTCGTTAATGACGTACAGTTGCCTGTCGAGTTTGACCGCGAGTCTAATATACCCTCTGTGTCACTGTTGCTAATCTGAAATTTTAGAATTTCGTAACCATTCATTATATTTATATCACAGTCTAAGTCACTGTTTGAAATTGAAAATCGCAGGAATTTAATTATAATCATGAGGAAGCTAGTATTATAGGTAAAATATCTAAATACATGAATGTCAACGCAGAAAAATGAATGCTGATAAATAGTAAGGTATTAAAACCATAAAGCTACTATGAATAAGTATTCACATATTCGGAGATGTGCTTCACATTTCAAGTAATTCTTAATTTTACAAACAAAAACTACATGTACCATTATTATGACTTATGATTATAATGTACAGTGTTATTCCTAACCATGTTGTTGTTGACATTTCTATCGTAAGGTTTTGTTGTTGTTGTTTTTTTTAATTAATAAACAATTTATTTTGAATACATTGCTTATTTTATTATACTTCGATAACAGTAAAATATGAGCCGTGTCACGACAAAACCAACATAATGGGTTTGCGACCAGCATGGATCCAGACCAGCCTGCGCATCCGCGCAGTCTGATCAGGATCCAAGCTGTTCGCTATCAGTTTCTTTACTTGTTATAGGGTCTGTAAGCGAACAGCATGGATCCTGATCAGACTGCGCGGATGCGCAGGCTGGTCTGGATCCATGCTGGTCGCATACCCATTATGTTGGTTTTGTCGTGACACGGCTCATTATTATCTCGATATTTACAATGATATAATCCCCACATCGTCCGTAATTATAGTCTCCCTCATATGACGTAATGTTCAGAGACAGTTGACTTCCGGTGTCAGTTTCTATCCACCACAAACAATGAAGGTATGTTCCATATGGGCTGCCGGATGATAAAGTTCTTGTATCGCCGCTACCTATCTTTATGTATGATCCGCAAGCTGTAGAATTAAATAGACAAATTTATTTGATGAAAATATGAAATATTGAGAAATATTGATGAAATAAAATGCGTATTTTCATTTTCTGTATTTTCACTGTAAAAAAAAATATTTTTCACTGAAATGGAACGTATTCTCCGTATTTTCATTGGTGTCTTGCATGGCTACTTTCTTCTTAATTAAGTCAATACAAAAAATTAAAGTAAAAGTCTTAAGAATTGTTAGTTCAAAGAAGAGTAAAAGTATATAATAAACAGAAAATTCAAGTTCTTTTCTATAAATACGGGATTTATTTTCATTTTTTGATCCGAAAGTATCTTATTTCACTCATGGCTCCCGCCACTCGTGAAATATTTATTTTCATACCACTCGATGAAAATCAATGTTGTATTTATAGGAAAAACTTAAATATCCTCTATGCATAATATTTTGACAGAGTGTAGGTATAGCTGACCCCAAAAGTAACAAAAGTAATCAAATGTGAATACTTTTCCGTAACTATGCTTTTATTTTATTTGTAGTTTGAGTAAAATGCACTTTACTATTTAATATGTAAAGTTACAGGGCAAGAACCCCCCCCCCCCCCCCCCCCCAATAGTATAAAGGAAGCGTTCCCATATTCACCATTGTTTATCTTCCAGGGTCCATTTAACTAGTTGGTTCCCGTTATTTATTTTCCATTGTTTTTATATATACAGTATTGTTCATTTTAAAAGATAGGATACTGCAGAAGAGATCTAGCTATGGATAATTTTGCAATATAACACAATTCTTAAATCTTCCTAAAACTGGCTTGCATTTCGTTCTGTATCCTGTTAGATCTAGTAATAAAAATTTTATGTCATGAAATCAAAGGTAAGATATTCATAATTGTTTTTTTTGTTAAAACGTGAAAATATGATGTACACAATCAACTTTGTAAGTAAAATATTATTATAGCAAATTTGAAAAGGAAAAATACTCACCCTCTGACGTTCTTATTATTGCCATTATAACTGAAAAAAATATAAAAGAGGATATTAATATCAAGATGTTCATGAAATATGAATCTATGTCTATGAGACTATGCTTTTTTATACTGATCAAAAAACCTAGGACAAGAAAAAATGATAACATAATCTTCGTTATTCCTCACCATGAATGATTAAAAGATAAACGTCCATATCACTGTTCCGGTGAATAAATGCGCATTTCGGAACACTGATGTCGGTAATACTGTAATTGAAAAAAATATTTTCTTTATTATGACGTCATAAACCTACGCGTGAAGTAGCGCGGGCAAAATCAATATTTTATTGTGGTTACGTTTAAATTGTCTTCGTCAACACAGTCAGCAGTATTTTTATTGCTTTAATGCGCAATGATGCCAAAATATTTTTAAATAAAACAAAACCTGTATAAATTACAACAACAACAACAACAACATTTCTAGGATTGTTAGGTGATAGTTGTATCCTTAAAATGAATGATAAAGACCTTTAAATTGCAGGGAGAGACTATAACGGTAAGCAACTTAAAAGCCTAAAAGATATGAAAAAAAAAAGATAATCAGAATATTTTTTTAGTTCTTTTTTTATTTTAGAATGTATTTTGATGATATTTTGTAATGAAATTGTCCATCATTTAACTATTCTAGCTTTATACGTTTGTCAAAGGTATGGCATTTTAATTACTTTGTCCTGAAACAGCTTATAGTAATTATATATTGGGTATCATAATACATATATCTGATTGTCTTAAAACCAGGTCAGGCTTCATGAATATTATACCTCATACAAATATCTAAGGGTAATCAGACCACTTTAATCTTGTTTAATCTTTAAACCTTTTATTTTTCAAACCTTGGCAATATCTGTATAAATAGAGACATACACTTTAAAGAGACTTGCATCTGAATGTGTTTTTAATAACCAACTGAAATATAAATTAATTTAAGTAATTTGTTGACAGGTTTTCCATTCAAATCAGTAATAAACATGTAAAGAAGAGATTAAGTTAAAAAAGCAAATAAAGCTAAAATAACAATAGAATTATCCTGTATTTAAAGCTTAAGAACTCTTCAGTTATTATTACGACCAATACATCTAGCTTTTCACCTTTAGCATTGTTTAAAATTTCTGTCTCAACTTTCTTTCTTTTTTTTAAATTTCTATGTTAATTTATCGTCATCATGAAAGAAAATGATATAAAAAATACATGTATTTGTGACATTAAATAAAATATGAATTCGCAACACATTGTTGAAAAAGGGAGGGAAAAATGCAAACACTTTACATTCTTTATCATTGTAATGAGGACAAAATATTGTTTAGCCAGGCTTTTACTGGAGATATAAAAAAAATATACAGGAATTATCTTGACCCAAAGAAATTCTCTTTTTTTACTGTGGAAAGATAACATTCTTGTCCTGTCACATCACGCACATGATTCTTGACTTATCAAAATATTTTATTTTAACTTACTGTATACTTTCACATTTTCTATTGATATTATTGTTTTCATTTTTACAATGAATACATTGTATATCTATTTGCGTTGTTCATAATGCACATTATAATGTACTACGTGAAAATCTTCAATTATATCTGCTCTACTCTGTTTTGAAAATGAATTTAGTTTTGTGAATACGTATTTTGAATGAGTGTGCAACTTTTTGTATTGTATATTATAACATGCGAATGCAGAATACAGAATAAAGAAAAGACGAAAAACATGTGTATATCTATCTTTTTATGACGTTAATGAATACAGATTGAATGCAAATTTGGCACCATTTTTCGGGTGCATGACATATCGATATGATTCATTATGCTACAACTTTGGCATCAAATACAAACGTCCATTATTGTGCAGGATGAAATGTACTGATTTAAAACAAAAGACTCACAGGTACATACGTTCGCGTGTATTATGTGTGCATGCCGTGGTTCGGTAAAACCTTTTTGTCTTTTTCGTTGACGTCCTTATAATTATTATTTAATTGTCATTTGCCCTAGAAAAACAGAGCTTTATGGCGACCGAATTAAATGATTATCCATTTAATGTCGTATGTAGTTCGTTATAGTTAAACTACCATTTAAATGGTAACTATATATCTATATATATTGAATGATATTAAATAAAGTTGATCACATTATGAAATAAGAAGAAAATGATATAGAAATGATGTACAATATATAGCATGTATATTATGACATCTCTAAATATACGGAAGGGTGAGTATTCAAATTATAACCAAATTGAATTACTAATTACCTTATTACCTTTCTCCGTAATTATACATACAACTTGCCTAGAAGCGAGTCTGTCCATGTTATGAAAAAGAATTTTTTGTTATTGTTGTTTTTTGTGGCTTTTTTTATTGTAGTTGTTGGTGTAAATTGGAAGAGAGGGGGACAAACATTGTATATCTTAAGTGTAAGCTTTAAGCTCTAAATTCAATTATCTTATGACATGCATATCTTTAAAAGCATATGGTTTGACATCTGTATATCTAAAAGCATATATAGAACTATGAGTAATACTGAATGAAAATAAAATTATATCTATGAATAAAAACGTAGAAATCTTTATAATTAAATTCATAGTTTTATATGGTCTGAATAATTTAATGTTTTGACAATATATTGAAATCAATAAGCTATTGAAGAATTGCCATAACAAAGAAAAACATTTCATTTGTAATTTTCATGGAACTTTTTTAAATAAGGTTGAAAATAATGTCAATGTGACAGGATAACAAACCTCTGCGTAAACTCTACTCATTGATAAAAATAACTTCATATTTATTTTCCATATATGATTATATTAAATTTATAATGTATGCTTGTTGATGTACATATTCTGAAGGTGTTCCTCCATGTACAATTATGAAATTTAACATTGTATGTTTAATCAAGCTTATAAAATAAAGAATCGATAGATGAAAGTATGTTTACAGTATAAAACCTTGTTCATGACAACTTGAAGGAAAGCATAATGGATTTTGGCTGATTAAAAAAGGAACACTGTCAATATAACATTGTTCTGAACATTTGCCAATAAAGTCTTAGAACATTTGTTTCAGTCTGATTAGGGTCATGCATAAATCATGTCATACACGACTGGGTACATCCTAGTATTGTGCGACATTCATTTTACATTCTCTTTATATATTTATACATTTACAAGGTTCAAAGATATGTCGATTGGTACATGTGATTTGATTATTGTCTTTACTAGGGAATAATGAATAATTCAGATCTAACTCTGTGAACGTTTTATTGCAAAATGACAGACTTTAATCAATATGCCAAGAGCGATGTCAAACTAGAAGTCTGAAAACATCCCATTGTGTAACAAGGTGACAACAATACAAATACAGTGAGATTGGTTTACACTTAAGATTGACAAGTTTTGTTACTTATTATACTGAATTATAGAGCAACTACTGCGAAACATACAATTAATAAATAATAGTGCCACTAACAAACTGTATACCCTAAAATGACTTCATATTGTCATGGAAAAACCATTGAAAATACCCCAAAGATTTCTGGAACGTGGAGATCCCTGCAGGGCAGTTAAAACAAATACAAAGAAATGTACTTGATTGAAAGTCTTGCACGCATGATAATAAAAATATATACCAAAAGTCAGAGGAATCATGAACATATTAGATTACGTTGTGGTCATAATTTTACACAAAACAACAACAAAAAACAAACAAACAAAAAAAAAACACACACAAAAACGTTTTTCATTTAATCCCTATAAGGGGTCTCCCTAAACAACAATGGAAGCAAAAGTAAAATATGCACTCGGATGTTCTAAATTCTTAATTTCACCATTTCATGTTAAAATGTTAGGCCGGTGAGAGGGAGCGTGAACAGAAGCCTCTACAATACAACACTGTGAGACAAGGACTTTGGTTGTTTCTGAGAGGCACCAATAATCTGAGAGGTATTGGTGCATGGAGGTTAAATTTATTGTGAAGTTTTACTTTTGGGGAAACTGTAGTTTTATATAGGTATGAAGTGTTTGCCATGCAAAGGTTGAAATGTAATTACTCCAGTATATCCGAATAGCCAAAATTGAATATTTAACTTCAAAGTAAAAATAACGTTAGATCTATAAGTAGTCTATTACATTGAAACGATTGCGTGACGTCATTATTCTCTAAAATCTATAAATTGCAATATTACATGGTAAGTTTTATTTGTACGTTAATTAAAAATAGAAATTAAACGATTGGTGCCCTGCTATTATTCAAATATTTGTTTGATTAAACCATTTGACAAGTTTATTCCTTGCATTTCCCCCAGTCACTCTGTACAACTATACTAAATAAAAATGTGCATGTTAACAAAACCAAACACAACTAGAGTGTGCAGATATCATTCTTCATATTTTTGCTTCACAGTAAGAGGGTTTTTCTAAGAATATGTCATATAAATGTAGTCTATTTCTTGAGTTTATGAACACTCTACATATACGTTGCAAAACGTTTCCACGGTTAATGTGACATTTTTAAATTCAAACATAAGAAAAAAATAATCCTTGATTAACAACATTTGGAAGGCAAACGTTGTTTTACCAAATGATGTAATTCATAACGTCCGGTATTGTTTAAACTAAATCATTAATAGAAAAACCTAAAATCTCTTTTTGCCAATGATTGCATAGGATTCGAAATATTTGCTTTGTCATGAGTGTAATTTAAACATAAATGTAGTTTTACTTCAAGATAATACAACCATCTTTGTGTTTCCTATCTTTTTTACCTATGAATATACTCAAAAATATTCCAAAATAATGCCTTATAGTAAATCTTGTTAAACCATTTGAAAATATATATTGACATTAAATTCAATTCAACTTATTTAATTGAAAATGTGCACCTACATACTGTCATGATGGGCATGTAGACATTCACTTGAACAAGGCGTTGGTCTGTGTTATTCAAATAGATAAGTAAATAATCTTTCACATATACCCTTTCATTTTAACTTGTAAT